CAGCACAGCCCCACCTTCAGGAAAAAAAATAAAAAATTCCTTGCCTTGTTTTTGCGTCGCCCGGTTCACCGGGGCGGACCCCCCCGGGCCCAACCGGCCAGGGTCCGCCCGGCCGGGCGCCGGCCCAGCCCAGTTATTTTCGTAATTAAATTGTTTGGGGGGAAAGTCAACTTTTTTTTTGTTTTTCTCTTTTGATTAGGAGTCCAGTCCACATTGGGACAGGGGACTGTACGAGGATTGCTTGATCTGTTCTACCCCTGTTCCCAACCTCCCTAACCTCACCGTATCTGTGACCACCGGGACTTCTCAAGTACCACATCAGCTCGTGCTGATGTTGACGGAACCGGACACCGGGGCACTGCCTCGACGCAGTGCCAGGCTCGCAGTTCGTAGCCACTCTGTGGTACCTCCACGATCTAAGTATCAGCAACAACGACTCAGTTCGTAGCCACTCTGTGGTACCTCCACGATCTAAGTANTGGTACCTCCACGATCTAAGTATCAGCAACAACGACTCAGTTCGTAGCCACTCTGTGGTACCTCCACGATCTAAGTATCAGCAACAACGACTCAGCAGACGAACGACTCCAGCAGCATTGGGTACAGCAACTGCAGTACCGGTCACTACCGGGCCCCTTCCCGCCTGCCCGGTCCAAGGGGACCACGAGACGTTGGCAGCTTACCTTCAGCGGGTACAGGGCATTTACGGATGCCGTCGCTACCGCTAAAGCACAACAGGAGGCAGCAGAGGCGGAACGTCAGCGGCTGGCCAATGAGGCGGCAGCCCAAGCTCAGCGGACTGCTGAGGCTGACGCAACGGCTCGAGACCGGCGGAATGCCGCCAGCACTGAGTCCCTGATTCAGAATGAGAGTCGGTGGACAACACTCCTCCAAGGCATGATCTTTGTGCCTACGGACGAGCAGGCGGACCCGACACCGGCGGAGGCAGAAAGGAGTACCGTGGCTAACCTGATGCTGGGCATGATAAGGGCGGTGATGTGGAATAACACAATGCTGCAGGTACACCTACTCGCGGACCGACCGCTCAGACAAAAGCAGCAGCAAGATACTGGCGCTTTAACAGCTGTCGTCCGCGCCACAGCAACGCAGCGGCAGCAACAGCACCATTTGTTGAACACCATTATCACACGCGTCAACAGCATCGAGGCTAAGGCCTCAGCAGCGCCAGGCTGCACGACAGACACGACGAAGCAGCTCGGGGAGCGCATCGACCATGTCGTCAATATTATTGGCGACCTAGGCGACTTTACCAGTCCGGCCACGATCAGCAGCACGGTGGCCGCCATCAAGACGGACACCACCAAACTGCAGTCACGACCGGAAGCCGCTACGAAGGCATACAAGATGCCACGCTTCAACATCAGCAAGTTTGACGACTACAACAAGACAGACGCTTTGACATGGTGGCACACCTTCCTCACTGAAGCAGCTTGCCACTGCGTGCCGCCTGAGGATATGATGAAAGCACTCTACCTCCAACTCATTGGAGGAGCACAGGCATAGATGAACCACACCGCGCCCAATCTGGGATGTACCATCGCCCAACTGCACACACACATTATGTGGGAACAACTCGAGCAAATGTGGAACACTCGATTCATGGTCCGCAATGTTGTAAAGGCGGTCATGAACGAGGTCTACTCCAGCTCACAAGGGAACATGCCAACTCGAGACTGGACGATCAAGTGGCAGAAGATAGTAACCACTCCGGGCTTCGACTTGAGTTTCCCAAACCAATGATCCGAGTTTTTTCCGCGATCGTGCGCAGGACTGCGGTCGGCGCTCGGCAACGAGTACGACTATGCCTCATTCCAGGCCATTCTGGATTGTGCGAACCTGGTCATCCAAACGGATGACAAGGCCGCCAACGAACGGCAGTCCCAGCCGCAATATGTGGCTAAGCAAGGCTACCAACGGCCAGCGCATAACAATGCAGTGATTCCTGACGAATCAATCGATCTCCACGATGCAGCAGCATCCTCGAGTGATGGAGTTGTCGCAGCGCTCCCGCCGAAGCGTCCCAAGAGAGTTCGGAAGAACAAGGCGACACAAGCGACAGCATCGACGGGAACTGGGCTGCAACCATGGACGACATACAACATCACCAAGGAAGTATTTGACCTTCGTCAACGGTACGGATATTGCCTTTGGTGCAATAGTGTAAACCACACTACCGCACAATGCTCGGAAAAGGGCAAGGCACGTGTACCCCGTCCAGCTAACTCGGGAAACTGAGTTATGCAAGGAGAGGGGCGACACCTCTCCTCACGCCGCCGGAACCGGTTGCCTTGCTAACAACCGATATCACTACCGGGGAGCATGCGCTAGTCGCTGATTCTCGTGATACATACGAGGATTATGTCGCCCAGCTGGTGCCACCATCAGACCAGCCTAGCCACGTGCACTCAGATAGCGTATGCGTAGCTTGTACACCGTCGGCTAGTGAACCGGTCAGTTCGCCACTGATTTCCAAGGACTCAACGGCGTGGTCAAGACTTGAGGAGCTTGACCCGCTCACGAGAGAGGACTTCGCTTGGATGCCTCTACCCTCAACTGGAACCTTGCCAAGGCTGCATTGTAATGCCTTGATGGCAAATCTACGCTCCTACTTGCACGCTGCAGTACCAGCTCCGTTGATGGACGGCGGAGTAGCGGTTGTCAATCTCTGCTCCTATCTTGCGAAGATTGACCGCGAGTACGCCACCCAAAGGTATGCCGAGACCGACACTCCTTTGCTCTATATCAACATTCAAATAAAAAAGGCAACCTGTAGTGCCTTGATTGATTGCAGAGCGTCTCGCAACTTCATGAGCCAAGCCTTTATGGCCGGCGCAGGCCTTGGCCCGCACGTTCGAAGGAAGACGCACCCTAAGCAAGCGACACTCGCAGACGGCCGCACGCAAAAGTCAATTGACCGATGCGTTGACGGCGTGCCGATGTACTTTGCGCCCCTTGCGTGCAAGCCGATGTCGTTTGACATCCTCGACACCAAGTTCAACATGATTCTAGGCATGTCTTGGTTGCGTAGCGCCGACCATCCGGTGAACTTTCATGACTGAACTGTTCACGTCTGTGATCGGAACGGAGTGTTAGTCCCATGTACGGTTGCGACCCCTCACACTTCGATTGCTTGTCATGTGGTTTCCGTTGCGAGGATTCACGACGCCATAGCTCGGAACGACGTCGAGGAAATGGGCCTTGTTTTCCTACATGCCCTCCCCTCGATGGACGGACCAGCCGCGTTGCCGCTGGACCCACATATTACTCACCTCTTAGACAAATATGGAGACGTCTTCAAGGCTCCCACCACAACGGTTCCGGATCGGCCCATACGTCACCGGATCACTCTCGAGGCGGGTGCCGTCCCTCCGCGTGGATGCATCTACCGCATGAGCGAAGAGGAACTCGAGGTGCTTCGCGCACAACTCGATGACCTTCTCGACAAAGGCTGGATTCGCCCTAGTTGTTCGCCATACAGAGCACCAGTTCTCTTCGTCCGGAAGAAGAACAAGGACCTACGATTGTGCATCAATTATAGAAAACTTAACACACAAATCGTAAAGAACGCCGACCCTCTCCCCAGGATTGATGATCTCCTTGAGCGGTTGGGCGGCGCGACGTACTTCTCGAAGTTGGACTTGAAGTTGGGTTACCACCAGATTGAAATCCAGCCTCAAGATCGGTACAAGACCGCCTTCAAAATGCGGTATGTGCATTTTGAGTGGGTTGTGATGCCATTTGGACTTACCAATGCCCCGACAACCTTCCAAGCAGCCATGACAACGGAGTTCCGAGACTTGCTCGATCGTACCGTCCTCATCTACCTCGACGATATCTTCGTCTATAGTAGGACGCTTGACGAGCACCTCGTACACCTTCGTGTGGTGTTGGATCATTTGCGAGCAGCCAAGTACAAAGCAAACCGCGACAAGCGCGAATTTGCAAAACAAGAGCTTGCGTACTTAGGTCATTATGTGGCACCGAAAGGCATTTGTCCCTTAGCGGACAAGATCCAAGCCATCGTGGATTGGCTGGAACCCCGTTGCATGACGGACGTACGCTCTTTCATGGGTTTGGCTGGATACTATCAGCGCTTCGTCAAGTCTTACTCCAAAGTGGCAGCTCCTTTGTCGAGACTTCAGTCCCCGAAGGTACCATTCGAGTTCGACGACGCAGCTCGTGGCGCGTTCAATACATTGAAGGCGGCGATGCAAGACGCACCGGCCCTCCGTATCTATGACCCCACCCTACCCACCCAAGTGACTACGGATGCTTCCGGGTACGGTATTGGTGCGGTACTGGAACAATGCCACATGGATGGTTGGCACCCGGTCGAGTACTTCTCCCAAAAGGTGCCTCCCATCAACACTCTCGACGACGCTAGGAAGAAAGAGCTACTCGCGTTCGTCACTGTTCTCAAACGGTGGCGCCACTTTCTTCTCGGTCGTCGGCGTTTTAGATAGAACACGGACAACAATCCGTTGACCTTCTACAAAACGCAGGACACGGTCACTAGCATGATCGGTCGATGGATGTATTACATCGACCAATTAGACTTTGAGCCGTGCCACATTCCTGGTCCCGCCAATCGAGCAGCGGACGCCCTCTCACTTTGTGCCCTCGTGACTACGGCGTTCCAACTCGACGACGATCTGCAGCAGCATTTCGTCAAAGGCTACAAGTCTGATCCGACTTACTTTACGCTTTATGCGGAGCTCTCATCGGATCACCTGCCGGCTGGTCATTATCGTATCTCCGACGGGTTCCTACTCCTCCACACGAGAGGAAAGGACTTGTTAGTGGTGCCCCAAGATCGCATCTTACGAACTCGTCTTCTCGGCGAATTCCACGACGCATGACTTTTGACACACCTTGGCGTGACCTGCACATTGGCCCGCCTCCGCCAACGTTTTCAGTGGCCAGACGTTCTTCACGACGTCACGAGGTATATGGAGCCATGTGCAGTTTGCCATCGTAACAAAGGTAGATCTCAGGTCCCTTATGGCGAACTGAAACCGATGTCGATTCCTCGGAAACCTCGCCTCTCCATTGCTATGGATGTTACAGGCCCGTTCCCCTGCGATCGCCTCGGTCATGACGGCATTCTCACGGTCGTTGACCGTTTGAGCAAGTACGCTCGTTTTCTCCCATGCAAGTATCATGCTACAACTCCCGAGCTCGCCCGACTCTTGCACACCGGCTGGATCACATGCCACGGTGTTCCGGAAGACATTGTGAGCGACAGAGACACTCGATTCATGTCCGTCTTCTGGACTTCCCTCATGACGGAGTCCGGTTCGACTATGAAGTCGAGTTCCGCACGGCACCCGCAGACGGATGGACAGTCGAAACGAGCGCATCAAACCGCTCAAATGATGTTTCGTACACTCATGTGTGAATACATTAAGTGTTCCTGGATTTGTTCTGCAACGTGAGTTGTTCCACTGGACTACATTAGAAATACTCGCGTTATCGACTTGTGAAGTTTCTTATTATTGACGGGCTCATTCCATGTTACTCAAAAATAGTACATAACACATAGTAGTAAATTGTACGTAGTGGTACCTAGTAGTACATAGTAGTCCACAGTATATACCAGAGGAACTGTTAATCAATGAGTCGTTCGCTCAGAGACACTTAGAGTACAATGATCAAGTCAAGGGGCTGTCCCTCTTTTCTGAACATAGCAGGAAAAAAACAAAGGAATGAGAAGGGCAAGCTGACAGTCAATCCTACTGTAACATGGAGCAACCAATGCTGGTCAGGGATCTTTCGGCCAAACAGAAGGATGCTTGAGTGTATAAATAATGTATTTTACTATTCTGGGGGAATGATAACCGGATTGAAGCTCCCCAAAATGGATATGGAGTCGGGGCCATAAGGATGCAAGGCATAAGGCCCTTGGGCAGATGGAAAAATGGTCTGCGCCCGCTGCAAATGGCCTGCGTCCGGTTGTAACTGTCTGCGCCCTCGCTGTTGAAAATTTTCGGCAACACTTTCCCACGAAAGTGGGTAAATGGCCTGCCGCAAATCCGTTCCGCCAGTACCGCTGCCGATAGCCTTGACGTCCGCCTCTTGCCGTCAAAAAATTTCGGCAGCATTTCCCCACTAAAGTGGGAAAGTTTTCTGCTAAAGGTCCGCCCGCTGGTACCTGCCGTAGTCCAGTCCACCGGTACCTCCACTAGCATCGCCCTAACGTCCGTCGCTGCCGCAAAAAACCTCCATCAAATTAATAAAGTATGGGCCCTGGACAAAATCCAGGCCCAACGTATACTCCCGCCGTGCCGCCTTGGTCCCGCAGAGTCCCTAAGACCGCTCCACTGGACCAGCACCAGAAAGAGGGAAGTGGAGCAAAGTGCTCCCTACCCCGGCTATGGCTGCCCTGCTCCTCTCGCGCTCCACTTCAGACCTCCAACCTCCTCCCACGTTGCCTCTGGCAGCTCCTCCAGCAGCCCTACAACACTCAAGTGTGCTCGTCACACACTGGCAGCACGAGTGCTTTGTGTGGCAGCTGGGGACAACTGCTTGTTTTATAGTGGTTGAGGAGGGCTGGACGTCATTCCATCCCCCAGGCAAAGTCGCGGGCTCACAGTGAGCCCTTGATCTTGCCAAAATCCAGGGCTAACTGTGGCCGCACCATAACCACAGCCTTAGTGAGGGCAGTTTCCTTAACTGCCCTCATTTTCTTTTTCTTTTTTTTTCCCCAGCTATCTCGGAATTTCACGAGATAGTTGAGGTCCTGGAATTTCCAAAACTGCTTTTATTTTATTTTTATGATAAGGGGTTGGAGAGATACAACCCCTTTCAGTTTGATGTATCTGGACCCTTTTTCCAAGGCAGATACATCGGGGAAAAGACTGTACTTAGCCTTTTCCTTCATGACCCCTCAATTTCCAGGCTCCCTCTAAAAACGGGAGCCTGACAGTTACCTCTGGCAGCTTCTGCCAGAGGAAATAGCACCACGTGAGGACAAGTGTCTTCACACAAATAAAGAAGAAGCAAACAAAAAGAAAGGAAGAATTAAAACTAAATCTAACTGCACGCGCCTGGCCACTCTCTCGGCCAGGTTCATGCAGTTGCATGCAACAACCACGCTCATTTTCCTCTGCCCTCCCTTGAAAACGGGGAAGGCAGTTGGCAGGTTGGGAGGAGTAGGTCCTCCCCTCCAAACTCCCTTGTTTCCTCCATGTGCACTGTGGGTCGCGAGATCTCAAGATCTCACAGCCACAGTCATCTGTCCAAAACGAAGTGTGAGCCTTTGTGCTCCCACACAGTCTGAAAAGACTGTTGTTTTGTTTGCTTTCCCTCTTTTTTTTTTTTTTTTTTTTTTTTTTTTTTTTTTTTTTTTTTTNTTTTTTTTTTTTTTTTTTTTTTTTTTTTTTTTTTTTTTTTTTTTACAGTCCTTAGGTTGCTCATTCCAACCTCTCCCCGTTTTCCCTGTTAGCTGTGCCTCAACGATTATGAACGGGAGGGGGAACGAAGTGACACCAAAAAAGAAAAAAGAAAAAAGAAAAAAAAAAAAAAAACCATAACTTACGTGGAAACGACCTGGCGCCTTGAAAACGGGCGCCCGTTTCCTCCTTCCCAGGGACTGCAAGTCCCTCTCTGCTCTACGCGCGCCACTTGGCTCTTTAGTTGTAGTTCGTTTTTTTTTTGTTTTTTTTTTCCCGTTTTTACCTCGTGGGTCTGACCAATGGTCACTTCAGGTTGTGGAACACCCACGATCTCAGTCGCGCGATCTTCGTGATCGACGGTCAGAATTGACCGCACCGACAACATCCTAGGTGGCCAGCTCCGAAAGGAGCTAGCCCAGTAGCGCAGTCTCTCAGATTCGATCCCAACGTCTGTCGGGTGGAAGTCGTGGACTGTAACCTACTGGGCTAGCTCCTATCACGGGAGCTAGACCCGCGCCCCTTCTATGTGTAGGTGCAGCCCCCAGTAGGCCCAACCCACACTCAATAGGCCCAGCCTGCCTTGCCCAGTGCTTCCCCTGTGGATGGTTGCCCATCCACGGCTCAGAGATCACTCACGCGGGTAGGCCTCAGCCTCGACCTTTCGGCCCCCTGTCTCGAAGTCAATGACCGGGGCCCTGAATCTTCCTACCTCCCGTGTCGCGGCCCCATACCCGGCGCATCCCTCTTTTTAGCCTACTTAGCCTCTTTTTAGGTAGAATAGGTCTAACTTTAGCATTTCCACGTCTGCGTGCCTCTGCGGCCTCGACAAAAGCGGAGCACTACTAGTTATTGTCGTTACTCTCAGATGCCACAAGCGTCCACACTAAAGCTAAAAAACTTTTAGTCTCTCAATCATAGGTCAAGTCTGAATAACTTTTGGCATCTCATCAAATCCTTCAATTCAACGAAAAAGTCGGACAACGTCCGACATTGAAAATCCCCGGCAAATACCCTTGTCAGGGTATTTGCCCCGACAACGTGGGGCAGGGATGTAATAGACAATATTGGGTCCATTCATGTACCACCTGTTGGATGACCTCTATTGGATCTCTAAAAAGGAACTGCTGTGCAGCGCACCTCATGTTGTGAAAGCATACAAACGACAAATAGCTTTCGATGCTATTCCCAAATCTCCACGAAACTCATTGCTACTGAGTGCTCACGAAATCTCGTCGCTATGTTCGCTTACAATGCATTTGTCGGGGACTCAGAATAAGTTACTTGCTCGAAGGGAACTCACTCTTGAGAGGGGGGTAGTGTTAGGGCCTGCCAAACACGGATTGAGACACAACTGTGTTAGGACCTGCCAAACACGGATTGAGACACAACTGATTTATGAATTTTGCCAATGGAATGTTTGCCTTGCTGAGTTTCCCGCTTGTCGCTGATTTTTCTAAGTCTGAGTGTGTATTTGCTTGGTGGTCTTCGTGCCTGTCTGAGTGCTTGTCAGTTTGAGTGTGTGTGTGACCCGCAACGGTACATGTGTGTGTGGATGACCCAAAGGGCCAGTACTTACCTGTGGCCATGACATTGAGGGTTGCAGTGGGGGAAACACTCAAGTGGTTGGGAAAGAGGCCTGCGACAGTTGAAGCAGTGAAAAAACACTCAAGTAGCAGATAGGCCGGTACCACACCAAGAAGAGGTGGATGTGTCGGGTACTCGAGGTTGAGCAGAAGAAGACAAAGTTCGCATTTTTAAAGGCCCAGTAGTTGTAGACTAGGTCTAGGCGGGTACCAGTCCAACCAATCTGAGTCCAGGGCCCATACGGGCAATATCAGAGTCTGCAATGATGTTTTCCTCCGAATGGGAGGAGGTAGCGGTTGCTTGGAGGCCACGCGGCCTAGGAAGTCACTCGCCAAGAGGCAAGCAGGCCGCTATATCTCGAGGAGGAGCGAAGTGCTCCTCCTCATTCTGGGTGTGCAAGTTTGGCGACACACTGGTTGGAGCGCTGGCTGGAGCAGCGCTGCTGGGGAAGGAGCAAGGACAGGAGGAGGAGGAAGACAAGGACTAGGAAGGGGGAGCGCCAAAGGTACTTACTTGGCTATGGTGGATGCCATCTTCAATACCTTGGTGGACGCTGCATCTGGAAAGCCCCACTGGGGTAGAGCTGCACCAAGAAGCTTTTAGGCAAAGTCAAGCATGGCGACCTGAACAGGAGCAGCCATAGCTGCTTTGTGTTGTCCTTTGCACAACAGGACAATGCCCTGGTAGTCCGCCATAGCCTCGGTCTTGGAGGAAGAAGAAGAAGAAGGGTGGCCATGGCTATGGTGGACCTCATGTGATACCTGCAGTATAAGAGGGATTCGAACATTGATTCTAGTTCAACCATTCAACATTATTATTATTATTATTTCTTGTTTGAATAAGAGGGGAGGAGATCAAGAGGAGGAGAGTGGTTGGCAAAGAAGAAGGGAATCATCATTGGTCTACGCTGGTGTACATTCTTCTTTCTTTCTTCTTCTTTTTCTTCGTTCCCTTTCTCTCCTCATAAGTTCATTCATTTGTTTTTGCAATTGGACAACATTGTACTTTCTCATGAATGTGTACTTCGAAATTGGCCAGGATCATAACATTGGTATCAAAGCGGATTCTACTCGCTGGTGAGAGTTGACTTATCCCCCCTAACCCTAATCTAAGTGGTTAGGGCTGACCACTTAGGGTTAGGCTTGGTCCGAAGTGGGAAGTGGGGCAGCGTGGATTGGGGAAGCTTCCCCCAGCTGCTAGGTCGTGTTGGGTCCACACTAGACCTAACCAGGTTGATTGAGAGTGAGCTTGTGGTGGCGAGACACATCAAGAGGACTTCATGCGACAATTTGACAGAGGCGGCAGTGAGAGACACTCGCACCTGGAATCTGACCTAAGGGAGACACTTGGTGACTTAAGGGCCTCCCTCAACTAGGCGAGCTGGAGGGAGGTAGCCGTTCTGCGTCTACGAACTGCAAGTTGCTACTTTGTTCTTCAGCATCGGCGGGGGATCCAAAGTTGCACTTTGGTGTTGCAGTCAGACCCTCTTACATGATAGGACACTAGTGTAGAGGTAGCGATTAGGTTTAGGGAGACCTAATGAGGAAGGGGGGTGAGTTATACTTCATCTCATAGTCCGGGCCACTCAGGTAAGTGTCGTGGACCTAAGGGTTGCCCATGTGTGCGTGCATGGTATTGGTTGTCCTGTAGGAATATTTATGGGTCTCTTTCCTACTCCTTTGAAGTCTAGATTGTGTGCATTGGTGTGCAAACTACTTACTGATTTGATGGATGAAGATGAGTATCTTGCTTTGAATGCCATATCTTTCTACAGTGTTTTGTCTTTTCATTCTGAGCAGATGTAGCCTGTAGGTTCTCTCTGAAATGTTGAATTTCGCTTTTCAATATGGTAGAGGCAGAAAGTAGGACCTTGTGGTACTCTTCTTGGTTGGGACTTGGTTGCGACCTACGTGGGACCCATTGGGACTCAGTGGGACCAGGCCCAAACAAGAAGGGCCCCTTGAACCCAAATCTGTTGACGCAATGCGCTCTCTTTTCTGTCTGGAATCCGTTGTTTTCTATTGGTTAAAGCACTCGCTGCCGAGGGGATCTCGACTGAGATGTTTTGCGGACTGATGACGCACAATTCGATGCTTGACCCACACCTTATACACCACTCAATTCTCCATTGTTGTATGTCGTCATTTGTAGTCTGATTTTGTTGTACTTTGACAGTGTTGATCAGATAAGGCTCGAGGGGATCTCGTACTTGGTCTGACCGGACTAAAACGAGCAGTCAGAACTCTCTTCCGAATTTTTTTTTTTTTTTTTTTTTTTTGGTTGCTCTCTAGTCCAAATATTTTGCCGATCCGGCTAGGAGTTCTACCTTCTCTTCTGTGTTTTTCAGCCTCTTGCTTTTGCTGGAGTTCATTATATGCCCGTCTTGACTCGTGGACAAGAGAAAAGAGATAAGGATCCAATGGCAACTCGAGGATCTAGTAGTTCCAACATGACACCGCCCAAGCTTTTTGAGATTCTGAAGGCTCAAATGGATGCAGCGGATGGCGAGGATAAACCACTGTATCAGGCCCGCTACCAGACGGAACTGGCCAAAGAGGAGGAGGAAGATGCCAAGCAGAAAACCGCTATTGAAGGTTATGAGGCCATCTTTAAAACAATCTCAACCCAGTCTGATACAAAGGTAAAAAGGTATTTGGTCACATATGTACGTGTCCTTGTAGATTTTACTTGCTCGGTGAGCTCCCTAGTCTGAAGTCCCAATTACTCGACCAGGTGAGCCAGCTATGGACTTAGATGGCGGAAATGGCCAACGCGCACCATGACCAAATGCAACAAATGGCAAATCTGCATCAGGCCCAGATCTCTAACTCCCTTTCCTTGCTAACCATTATGTACTTGCAGCTCTCCATACTTCTTCTTCTTGTTCTTGTTCTTCTTTTTCGTTGAGCTTGGTTGCCAGTCTTTCAGGACTCGCAACAGGTGCGGATTCCGATGTTGCTACAAGTAAGAGCGCAGAAAATTCTGCATTTGTTGCAGCCCTGAGATTGAAACCAGCAATGGCTGGTCCCAGCTATAGCAGTCCATACATGGATAGAAAGGCGGTGATGATACCGTCCACGTACGATGGCAAGGAAGATGTTGAGTCCTGGATCAGCTCCTTGAGAGCTTACTTTGAGGTACAGGGCACTCAAAGCGTGAATCAGTCCTTGATCCTTGGGACAAACGTTGGGGCTGTCGTACGGGGCTTTCTAAAAGTCCAACCTATGCAAGTTGAGTATCCTAAGATCGATCTGACAGAGTGGCTTAAAGTCATCCCGGCCGCTACTCTCGAAGAGATACTAAATTGCACAGTATAAGGACCCACATGCGGCAGCAAGAGTAAGGATCCAACTTGATGTCCTCAAGCGCAGCAAGACGCAGGGCACCATGCACAAGTTGCAGTTGCATGTCAGCAAACTCGTTGCAACACCAGGGTTGGAATTGACAGTGCAATCGTGCTTGGATGTAGTAAGAGGCACGTTTCCCACCACTTTCACAAATTGCCTAGGTAGGGATTTCTTTGGTTATACTAACTGGTTTTCCTTTATGAAGGATGTAGTCAGTCTCGAGGCAGTAGACTCCGTTACCACATCAAGCAACAAAAAGACCTTGATCTGCGGGTGATTTCGTGACAACAACCGTCTTGCTGCGCTCGACTTGCTGGAGGCTGAAAGAGAGGCCGAAGCAGATGACCCCACTCTTGGCAGCAGCCAAGAACAAGACGCTGATACAACCTATTCTTCGACCCAAGAATCCGAGATCAATAAGGAAGAGGAAAATTTCAGTGCCTTCAAAAAGACTGCCCATGGTAAGGGAAACCAAAACCGGACCTCAGTAACGAACTTTGTCGCACTCCCTAAGGGAGTCAAAATCCCAGCCAATCCGGAGGACGCAAGTACTAAACCTTTTGACCTCCGGATCAGTGAGGCTGAATGGATGGCTACATTAAAGAAAGGAGGTTGCCTGCATTGCCAGAAAACTAATCATAAGATCCAAGGATGCTTTAGGCTGCAGGGTAACCTGAATCGGGCATAGAGAGTTCAGCACACTCTACGACAAGGGAGTTCGAACTGGTAATGGTAGTTCCCCCAAGGAACTTGGCACGGTCTAGCAGTCCTCCCTTGAAGACCCAACTTCTGCTGATTCCAAGGATAATGGTTGTCATGTTTTTTACGCTGAGCCTTGGGAGGAGTTTGAGAAGGTCGACTGTCACTATCACCTAGAGTGCCACGGTTCACTATTCTCATGGCAGGCCTACGATAATCCCCTTGGTCGCAGGTGACAGAGGTGCCTAACGGCCTCTTGGCAGGGCAGCTTGGGGACTCCGCAACCTGAGTTCGAGAGTAGGGCAACACGTTGCTTGAGACGAAGAAGCACCGAGCTCGGTATATGCCTTCCTGTGTGTGTGCGTGGTCGAGGATGTGTGACCTGTGCTTGTCCTCTGCTTGTGGGCGGGTTCACTTCGCTGCCAGGTGGGTTGAACCTGGTGCGTCCAGCCCCCTGACGGACTTCCCCCTCTAGCACAGTCCCTGATACGCCTCGCAACCTTTTATTTAGAAAAAGAAAGAAGTCTGCAACGTGGTTCCTATCTCCCACCGAGCCGCAGAGCCCAGAGTGAACACACCAATCCTTCACTGTGCTGCTTCCTGGAACCATGGGCTCAGTCACATAAAGTTCCACAAAGTCTGTCAGTGCTAAGTACGTTGTAGTACATAGTACAAAGTCCGTCAGTACACAGTACATACACAGTACACAGTCCGTCAGTACACAGTACCTACACAATACATAGTACATCAGCGCCTAGTGCATAGTCTGTCAGTCTATGGTTCCAACTAGAAGTGTAGCATAAGAGACATTCCAGTACGTTTTGTGGGACCATGGGCTCTGTCACAGCTGGTTCCACAATGGATTTCAGCCTATGGTTTTTACTAGAAGCCTAGTGTGAGGCAGGTTGCAGTTGGTTTTGTGGGTCCATGGGCTTTGTCGCAACTGGTTCCAGGCTACGGCTCCTACTAGAAGCGTAGTGTAAGACACAGGTTGCAGCTGGTTCTGTGGGACCATGAGCCTGTCACAGACGGTTCCACAAAGTCTGTCAGGCTATGGTTCCTACTAGAAGTTTAGTGTGAGAAACAGGTTGCAGTTGATTGAACTTGATTCTGTGGGACCATGGGCTCTGTCAAAGACGGTTCCACAAAGGCTAATCAGCAATGGGAGTGACATGGGCTTTTCACCCGAATAGAATGCCTGGTCATTATATCTGCATCTGATAGAAAAAATCTGCAGTCTGCAAGTTTAACCAGCTTGGCAGCTTCCCCTCTGTGTAGGGGTTTCTTTGGCACACCCTCTATTTGTAGGGGGATTGTGTAGGGGTTTTTGTGACACACCCTCTATCTCTAGGGGGTTTTGGCTGGTTCGAATTAATTGTTGATGGGAAAACGCTGTTGACTTTCTTGAGATTAGTAAAGAATAATAATTGAACCGGTGTTATGAACAATATGAAAGATTTTACATCGATCTGAGACTGGAAGTTGTGTGCGCATACCTTTTCCTCAAGCTCTTCTTCTGGCTTCATCTCAAGCATCTCTTTGACATTCCTCTCTGCACAAAAGCTCAGGGCGACAAATAAAAAATGTCCCAGGTCAGCTGGACCTTCCTTCTTCTTCCTTCCGACCCTACCCTTCACTTTTCGTTTGTTTCCTTCCTTTTTCTTTAAATACATCACAGGTGCTTGCAAGGAAAATGAGCAATGCGGATTATAGAAACCAAATTGCATCATCCCATTGAAAGCCAGAGAGTCATATTCTCGAACAGACAGCAGAATGCACCAAGATATACACCAAATAAGAGCAAAGCAATGAAATCAATTGACAATGTAAGCCCTCTTCTCGCCTCCACCATCAATGTTTCCAATGTCGCTCTCCTATGTGGAACTCGGCGCCCAGACTACAATCAGACAGCACCTAGACTAGCCTAACTTCTAATGATGTCAACAGGTCTTCATGAAGTGCAGCTGCCAGATGACGAATGAAGACTTCGGCTGAACCGACCCTCTCATCATCACCAGGTAAGATCTCTCTCTCTCTCTCTCTCTCTCTCTCTCTCTCTCTCTCTCTCTCTCACACACACACACACACACACACACACATAATCAGTTTTATGTTTGTCAGTCTTTTTTCTGTTGTCTGTTCTTCCCCTGATTTTTTCTACTTCCCCTGATTTTTTCTAACTTCTTTTGTGCGGCCAACTGAGCAGTGAGCACCCTTAAGTAGTGCCAAACAGTCGGTAATTACTCGTTTGGAGTGCCTACTGCACTCTTATGGGGGCTGCTCAGTTTGGGGTGTCTGTGTTGCCTGTCGGTGATGACGGATGTTCGTTGGAGTGACTCCTGGCTCAGTGGGTGATGGGAACCAACAGTCTGCGGGGTTCAATCGTGATGTGAGTAGGTCATGTGCTGCTTTGCTCCGTGTTGGATGTGTGGACATCCTCGTCTGCGCTCCGCCGCTGCCTTGCTGCCTGTCTCGCTTGCTTTGCGTGTGGTTCTTTGCAGGTTGATGTGTTCGCTGCGCGGTGTGGCCCTGTTGTTGGTGTTGCTTTGCGCTTCGCTGCTCTGCTGCCGTGCTGCTCATCTGTTCGTTGTGCCTTCCTTGCTTGTGGCTTGTGTGCCCTATAGGTTGGTTGCCTTGTTGCTGGTGCCTTGTGCTCCGCTCCACGGTTGCCCAGCTGCTGGTTCACTTGCCCTGTCGTCCCTGCAGTGTTGTTGCCTTGCTTGTGTTGCCTTGTGCTTCACTACACGGTTGCCGTGCTGCGTGCCATGTCGTTCCTTCCAGTCGTTTTTGGTGTTGTGCAGCCGTGCTGCCTCTACTGTGTTGCCTGGTGCTTCACAGGGTTGGACAGTCTGCCTTCAACAAGGGTCAAAGGGTTCATGACCCAAACCATCAAATACGAGGATTCTGCAGATTGTCGAGGGTTCAGCCTCCTGATGAGTTGGTGCAATTCCGACGAAACAATCTTGTTATCATCAGTTTTTCGGTCCTTCGACTTTCTTGGGACTTGTATTTTTTTTGGTTTGCATGCTTCCGTCGGTGCTACTTGTTTCTCAGCTCACTATCTTTGCCTCGTCCTATCGTGTTTTTGTGCCCGCCCGCCTCCCCGGTGCCCTCCAACCTAGGTGTTTTGTTGTTGCGTGTCGTTTATGTGCCTCGTACGTCTTCTCAGTGTGCATTACCTCCTGTTTGTTCTTCGCTGCCTCCTTCCCATGTGCTAGTCTGTTTGGCTTCAACAGTAGGGCACACACACACACACACACAAAAAAAAAAAAAAAAAAAAAAAAAAAA